TGGTTCCAGATTTGAGCTCTCCTCAACAGCACTCGTCTCCCCACACATCATCTTCTGCCTCTTTTCATCGCCTGAGTCTGATGCCTCATCTGTTGCTCTCTTCTCACGACTCCTTCTTGGCGATGTTGTGTCATCCAACCTCTTAGCTTCTGGACCAGTCTCCTCTCTATCGAGACTTCTCTTTGCTCTTGGAGTCATCGGGATGACAGCTGGGGTCACAGGTGCTCCACCGGCTAGACCTGGTGTAGATGGGGTGTGACCACTCCTGCTGCTACAGCGTCCCGTACTGCCTTTAGCTCTTCCTCTGACGCCTCTGCTTCCAGTGTAGGTTGCCTGTAGCGCTGCGCCGCTCCTGCGTGTTTCATCAGGATTCTTTGTGGGCTGTATGCCCATGGCAGGCCTTTGACAATCACCAGATCACTGGCAATGAATGCCTCCTCAGCTGCTAGCCTTCTGATGGTCCTTGCCTCATATGCACCTGCGGCTGTCAGGACCACATGGTGATCATGCCAGCTGTGCTTTCCAACCCATACACCACGCTCGAAGATGTCGTTGGCCTTGTACTTGGTGAGCTTCTTGAACATCACAGATTCCCCGAAGAGTGCTAGCTTTCCTCTATACGCATGGCCTGTTGCCAACTCATAGCTGGTCTTTCCAACCTTCTCCAGGACACGAAACCTGTTGAGCAGGAATGCTACGTAGCGGAAAGACCAGGGGTACACGTGCATGTTCCCCATGATGTTTACCTTTGCTCAAGCAGTTTGCAAGTCGTCTCACATTTAGAACTGCTCTTCGATTCGAGGCGTGTTGATTTGTCCATCCTCACTTCACTGCTCAGCCCCATCACTGCCCTGACCTGTTGCACAGACCTGAGTATTTGTCGAATTGCCCTCTCTGGGTCCCCCTGGAAAACACAGGGGTCCATGGAGCTGTTCCCGAGGGAGAATCTCACAACCTCCTCGGTAACAGTTTTGAGACTTGCAGCGCCCTTTGTGGGCACTGGCACAACGTGTACTGCCTTCGTCTCCGAGGCTGCCATCACTAAACACGTCCCGAATTGGTCAGACCGCTCCTTCACCTTGTCCACAGGTCCTTCGTCTCCTCTCACATCCTCACCCGTGTAGGTGTAGAAGAAGTCCAACTGGATCGTCTCTTTGCTCAAACTTGTCCTCCTTGGCTCTTGTCGCCACACATGCTTGGCACCATAGGGCATAGGGTAGGTGAGTCACGAAATGGGCCGATTGCTCCTTAAGCGATGGGAGCCTGGGTTGCCCCAATGCTGTAGGCTTCCTCTCTTGCTCCTCAAACAGCTTGCTGGCGATGGACAGCTTCATCTGGTTCTCAAGGTTCACCTTGAAGGCAATCAAACGGTCAAGCAGCCTTCGTTTGCTTCCAGCTGTCTCTCCTTGCACGCCAGCTGAAGTTCTTTCACTGTCATCTTCTCTGTGTAAAGCGTCTCATCTAACTCCACCTCGTCTTGCCTCTCGGCAACCACCATCTTTTCGATGTCCTTTGCATCCATTTGCATCTCCAGTTCGTCCTTGTTCTCATAGTCATCCTCTGACCAGTCTGTTAGTCTGTTCTGCCTTGAGCTTCTCTCATCTTCTCCTCAGGCAGTGGACGAACAGGAACTTCTGAATCTTGCTCCCAGTAGTCTTCCATCTTGAAGGCCGCAAAGAAAGTGATTGTCCTCTGGGGGGCCGCCCAAACCAATCTTGCGATAGGCCTGAGCTCCTAGCTCCACATAGTCATCCACATTCTCCAGCTTCCGTCGCTGTCTTTGACCAATGTCATTCTTGCTTTCCATGCCTCCTCAATCTGGCCTCTTGGATCTGTCAAGGCCATGGCCACTGGATCGCTGTAGGCCACGATGCCATTTGCCAATCGATGCCAGCCTGGCGCCAGCTCCAATTCCTTCACATACCTGCTCAGTGTGCCTCGAAGTGCTAGCACCCTGGCAGGCTTCTCCTCTTCTCTCTTATTCTCCTTGTTCTCCATGGTCTCAACCACGTAGATCTTTGCCGTGAATTGCAGCGAATTTCGTTCATTGCTGATCGGCGCTGCAATGCTTCTTTCTTTGCGTCGCAGGGCCAGACTGCCACCTTCACTTTCGATGCACCAGCCCCTTCCTGAGGAGTCGTCCAGCACATAGGATTGGATGCTTCACATTCCCAAGAGCGAACTCCTCCACCATCTCTACATTCTTTCCATTTGCATCTGTCGTGCGCAGCCTTGCTTTTGTGACTCCATCATGAAAGATTTGTTTTCCCTGCGCATCCACCATCTTCAAAGACTCAGCACCTGGCGCCCATTGTCCCACGTTCCCATAGGACTTGGGCAAGATGGAGATGTCCGCCCCACTGTCAAGTGTCACGAGGCACTCCTCGATGTCACTCTGGTCCATCCTCACCATCTGGACCAACTGCTCTTCAGCTTCGTCTTGCGAGTCCATGGCCACAATGCTCATGCCCTCCGGGATATCCACCACGGGCTCAATGCAGTCCTCGAACTCACTCCCGCAGCTCTCCATCTCCACGTCACTGTCGTCCTCCACATCGACCATGCCCACACGCCATGGATATGCATGATCTTCTGATCCTGAACCACCTCCAGTCAGGTCAAAGATCTAGAGGCTGTGGGAATCTGGCGGGGTCTGCAATCTCACCATCTTGACAGAGGATGTTGTTGTCAATGTGGGTGGTCTTTGCTGACCTGTCGATGAGGCAGCTCCTCCACTTGTCTCCTCAACTGGTGCCACTCGTTTGCTGCTCCAACAATCCTTGGCATAGTGTCCAACTTTGCCACAGTTATGGCATGCTCCAGTGACTTTTCCCGCTTTTACTTTCTCTTGGCTCTTTCCTTCCTTTCCTTTGTCACCACCTTTCCATGAGCTCTCGCCTTCTGACTTGCCTTTTCCTTTCTCTTTCCCTTTGGACTTACTTTCCTTTGTCCTTGGACTTGCTCTTTCCGCCCTTCTTGCCTTTGTCTCCTCGAATATAGTCCACCTCCATGGGCACTGCGTCGTCCATGCCCAACCTGGTAAGCAAACTCAGGCTGTTCGAGCTGTCCCATCTTGTTGCCAGGGCCTCTAGCTCCATCACCTTGTTCTTCAGTTGCTCATAGGTGGTTGAATCAGTGATCCAAAGCTGCAGATGGGCTCTCAGATGTGCTGGTACAGCTTGGAGGATGGAAGCCACCTTGGCATCATCGGCGTAGTCATGCCCTGAGATCCTCTCGTACTCATTGACAATGGATTCGTAGAGCGGCAGTTGCTCGGATATGGACTTTCCTTCTGCAAATTGCACCCGAGACAACTGGGTGAACAGGGCCAAAGACCGGGCTCTTGTAACCGGTTGCATTTCTCGTAGGAGCCGCTGCCAAGCTTCGTAGCCGTTCTCCTGCTTCATGTGCCTGATCAGCTTCAGGGGACGGTTCCTGAGGTAGGAGATGAGCAAGCTGTACAGGCAAATGGAAGATGCCTTGGTGTCATCCGTCATCTCATCAAGCTCATAGCTGCCGTTCAGGTTCTCCTCCACCAGCCTCATGCCATGGGCCATGCCTGGGTCGATGCCTTTCACATAGTTCTCGAATGAGAATTTCCAGTCACTCCACTGCTTCAGCTCATTGTCCCTGGTGTCGGGCTTGAAGATGTCTGGAGTCTTCAGGTGGCGAGACCAGGCTGTTGAGCTTTGACTCACACTCAATCTCTCCAAAGCTTATGAAATCTTCTGTAAGCTTTCTTCGGCCATTGCAGCCAAGTAGGAAACGTAGGGCCTGTACGTCCTTGTGGTCAAGGTAGGAGTATTCTCTGAGTTGTTGGGCTCACAGTCAAAGTAGTCCAGCAATTGGGTGAAGTCCCAATTGGCCACTGGGTCGCTGATGACCTCCTGGTCGGTGTTGTCTCTCAGCTTCTCGATCTTTTCAATGAGCTTCCAGCCAGCCGGGACTAATACAACCAGCTGCTTCTGCTCCCTGGATCGCTTCCTTCCTCTCTTGCCCTTCTCTCTGACCGTCAAAGTGGCCTTCACCACACGGTCGCTGCGTGCCCACTTTAGCTTCCCAACACGCTCCTCTGTCTCCACCAGGATGGTGTGCAGGTATCTGACTTTCCACCTGCCGCTGGTGTGCACCACGCTCGGGCTCTGGTAGTGGCAAATCTCCTGAATGGCAGGATCTCCAGCTCCTCCTGCAATTCCAGCTAAAAGAAGGAGTTCGATCAGCCAGAATGCGACAGATGTGGTCTTCGCCGCGGGCAAGCGGGATCTTGACCTAGGTCTTTGCCCAGGGCTCGTGGTGCAGGTGGCGTGCGGTAGGGAGCCGGGCACTTTACGACCCGGCTCCGCTACCATGCGAAGCGCGCAAATCACTTGTCGCTTGGGCCTGAAAGTCGGTCCATGTACACTTCTCGTTTTGTGCTCAAGTGCATGGGTGGGTGTTCGTCTACGTTTCGTCATGTCTTGACAAAAAACACGTTTATAAATAGATAGAGAATGATGGAGAGAGAGAGAGAGAGAGAGCGCATTGTATCATATTGTATCTGGCTGGCACTCAGTCTGTCATTGCATGTATACTGGCATATTTTTGCGCATACTTTCTGAGATTCTATCTATGTGGCATTCATACTGGCATTCTATCTGGCAACTATTTTAGTATTTATCAGCGCAGCTGGTTCTGGTCTGGTGCCCAGTACGATCTGGAGCTCGCGGAAAAGGCCGGTGGTGCCCACTGCGATCTGGCACTCGTGGTTCAGGTCCGGTGGTGCCCATCAAGCTCTGGGGCTGGAAGGAGGAAGCAAAAAAGGAGCTTTGGCAAAAGGTGACAACCCGCACCTGGCAGGCGGGAAAAATCAAAAACATGCTATATATAATATAGTTATTACACAGGAGCCCCATTGTGTTTTCTTTGTGTTTGTTTGTTAGCCGCTTGGATCTGACCAGCTCACTTGGCTCACAACAGTCTCCCTGGGCCCTGGTTTCTATTGTGCCACGATCCACCAAAGCCTGAGAAATGAAGATCACGTCTTCTTGCAATGCGATGTTCTTTTCGATCATGCGTTTCTTCTCCTGCGCAGCAACAAAAGGCAGAAGCAAAAGTGCCTTGATGTATACCCTGCAGGACATCAACCTGATCTAGCACAAAACTGTGCGTATGAGTGGAAGCTCTACTCAACAGTGACCTCTCAGGTTTGTCATGACTTGTCTATGTAGTAAGGTTGCAGCCTGGGCAAAACCAAAAGTTGGAAACATCAGCATGTTCAATCGATTTCAACCACCTACTGACTATATCAAATCGAGAAGCACATGAGTCTCACACCTCTGCTGTTGGCTGTCCAGCGGCGCTGACGCTGAAAACGGTCGAGTTCACCCCGCAAGCAACCGTATCCTGTGGATGAAAGAAACCATGTTGAGAGGCCAGCCTTGAGGTGTGGTTCTGAGTTGACAAATCTCATCCCAAGCTACCCATCTTATGAAATTCCTCCACCCACCCTTCGGTCGCCATCCTGAGCCAAGGACTCTATCTTCGTCCCCTCCGCAGTGCTCCCGCGCGCGGTCTTCCGCCGTTTGCAGCAGCGCAGCATCCCACGGTGCGCGGTGCCCGCGCACGCGGTGCTGCTCCGCGTGCTGCGAGAAGGGTCCAATCATCGATGGGCGGCGAACAGGTCAACACAGTCTATCTTTAAAAAACAAAAACAACTATATACAGTAATTCAAAACTATTAGCGGCCTCCAACATACTAGCGATGGCCTCGAACCTAAAAGCGGCCTCCAACCTTGTCACCCAGTACCCGGCCCTGCAAAACAGTGGTTGACCCAGCATCTAATTTGCTAACACTTCTTTGCTAAGATTCTTGGGTGTTGTGGGAACACAGAGCTGAGCTGAGCCTGGAGACCCAAACTGATAGCATTGCGTTGCGTATCGGAGCAATGGAAGGGAAGGGAAACACATCCACCAAGGAACTTCCTGCTTGGTCGACTCCTCGGCTTCACAGTTAGGGTCATACCTTCATGATTTCCTAATAACATATTGTTACATGATATGATATGACACATATCAATTAAGCGAATACGTAATAAATAATAGTTGGCGTAATTACATAATAAAGGACATTTAAAACATACGTACTGTAAGACATAAAAATACGTAATTGACAATAACTATATATATATAGTTTGAGTCACAGTCAAAGTGGTCAAAGTAAACAGCACAAACCTTACCTAAAGCAATTGGAAGCCCACTCCTTCGCAGCAACAACTCGTTGCCTTCGCAAACCCCTTTTCACTGTGGAAACACATTTACAAACACCTGTGGAATCCTGAGGCCTTAGCCTTATGATTGACCCATGCCCAAAAACGGTCGCAAGCACGGGACGTTGATGGTTCCTAGACTGCCCAAAGCAAGCCTCCGCTGGGGCCCAAGGACCAGGATCCTTTGACGTTGCCAGGCCCAGGCTTACAAAACGATGAATTTTGGAGCCACCCTTCACCTATGGGAGGTCATCTAGAGGGTTCCTTTAGGCAAACGACATACTGATAGTACATGGGGTTCTCTCAACTGCACGGCTCTTTTTGCTTGCGTGCTAGTCTGCGCGGCTGCTCTGCTTGGCAGAGGTGACCATGCGTATAGTCTACAGGCACCTTGATCAAAGAAGACAAGCCATCATGCAGGACATGTTTTCCATACGAAACATGTCCAACAAGTAGTAAGGCTCTGAATCAACCTGAAAAGGCACCCGTGGCAAAAGCAACTTTGAAACTCTTCTGCAAGTTGTTATCACACAGAAGTTGGGCCACGGGTACAAAAATCTGGGCCAATGGTCACAGGGCTCTGGGTCAAAAACCCTAGTGCCGCAGGTGAACCAATCAAACATCAACAAATGAACATCACAGTATAGTATACAAATGGCAAAGCAGGGTTCACATGCCATGTGTAATATGTATACCTCTGACTCAACTTGATCCTCAATGGGCCACGTTAACATTTTGAGAAACCATAAGCGATGCACTTTCCCACTTGAGTTTGGATTGAACAACATGTACCTATCTGCAACTGTATATAGAAACATGTAGAAACATCTTCCAACGCATCTTCACAGCACAACTTGTATTTACTCCGAATCGACATGCTATTAACATGCTATGACGGGAAGGGGGGTCTATTGTAATTAGTCTGGGAAGGGAAGACTCTACACCTCAGTTTCCTTGTGGATTCCCTTCGCGTGATCCATGCGCCCAGAACAAAATTGGGCCTGCCTTGTTCCACGAACATTTTGACAGCACCCAAAGGTCTCTTTCGGGAGAACTCGAATTAGCCGACGCCGCTTGCAGTGATGCCTTTCCAACGATTGGCATTGAATTCACCGCCTGCCGGAACACCAAAGACTCGAAGACTCGAGCCATGGTAGTGGCACATTCGAGCCATGTTTGGAGGGACCCATCATGTTCAAATGCCTCGGCGTCTTCATGATCCTCAAAATGACACAATTATCACTTCCCTGAGGCAGAACCCGAACGAAATGGACTCAACAATGAATCTGCTTACCGCTTACCCGAAAAAATACCATAAACACCAAAGGAATCCAAAGGACAATAAAGGACACACTGGAGGTAGATTCATTAGGGGCCAAAAACGGATGGACTCAAAAAAAGTAGCTTGTACTCGCCGGTTATGATTACCGGCGTCGACAAACTTCTCAGTATCATAAATTCTGAATCCTCAAGTAAGATGAAACATCATGAAATCATCATGGAACCATGTTTCAATCCATTCAAGCATCCGATTGCACGATCATGTTTTGTAATCTAATGTTTTGATATGTTTTGATATAGTACAGGTGATGTGGCGGTAGTGATGTCCATGTGGTCCAGACCACTTCCTTGCCCCACCGGTGGTACTTCGCCTGGTTAAAGTGCAGCAAAGCAATTCGTGCTGTGAACTTGCGACACCTCACAGCGACGGATTTGAGGAATTGAAATTCTTTGGATAGGCTACGCTCCAGTGTGGGCTCGCACTTGGTACTGGAACAAGTGAGAACATCCTAGTCATCCCACCTGTTCTTTCGAAGGCTGACAATCTTCAAAGAAACCAATGGAGGAACGCTTCAAGTTGCCATGTCGCCTGTTGCGGTTGCGCAAAGTCATGGGCGCCCATGATCCTGCAGAGTGATGGGTGCTTGGATCTCGATTTACACCTGGATCTTCATTGGACAGCCACAAGTGTGCACTTTATTTCGGAGGGGGGGGTCCGAATAATTGAATACTTACTACCAAATTGAAACAACGCTGTTCATTCTGTAAGCCTGGCCCCCTTCCAAGCCTCCGTAGTTTGACAAACAAGAATGCCAGAACCCGAGCTTCTCCGCTCAGCACTCTGTAGCTTACTCTCCAGGATATCCTGCTAAAAGATGCTAAAAGGTCCCACGACGGGTGCACTAACTTCGCAAGTGACCTCAGGACTCTTGGACAATTTGTCTGAAGTTGGCACTTGAGCTCTTTGTTGATTTGGTTTCAAGCCATAGGCAGCCATTGTCCACTGGTCCGAAATTGAATCTGTTTCCTGACTGCGGCTGCTTGACTAGCAAAACCTGATGCGCATTTGGACGGGAACAAACGTATTTTGGACGGGTATTCCAGGTCGAGTAAATTAGTCACCTAACTGATTATCACAAACGACGCCGTGCCGGTTTGACACACCCTTTGCTGCATCTTCCCAGCTGTAAGTGCGTGACAGGCTTTTGGGGTGCACTTGTAGGCGTGGCTCCTCTCTGACTGATCCTATCTGGTCAAGCACGCTTCGTCCAACCAAGTTCACTGAAGCTGTGCACAAAAGCCAGACTGAAGCTGATGCGGGGGATGGCCCACCAAATCAAAAGCGGAAAAATGCAACCCAATACAGTCAAAATGGCTACAATCAGAGGACATGCATTTCAACAGCCTTTTGTATTGCAAACATGTTCATATACTAATACCCAATACCAGCAAAAAAGAGTTCATGTTTACATCTTGTAATTTCAGAAAACATAGATGATAAGGCAACGCAATATATGATATATGTATTGTTTCCTGCTCCGATCTTTGTCTGTCCTCACGTGTTCTTCGAGTCGATATTGCGACATCTCCACCTTGCGCATCTGCTCGCGCAAGCGTGCCTTTGCGCAAGAAAGGCACGCGGCGGCACGAGCTTCATATCACAGAGATCACCCAAACTTTTGCGTGACAACGAGAGCTTCCAGTGGCCACAACAAACTATCCAGCGGTTCTTACATCAGGGACTCACCGTTCAAGGCAATGCTCCCAAGTTGACAAGTGATCATGGAATATTCAAGATTGGCAAACAAACGGAAACTTGGCATCGCCTAAGAGTCTTCCGACATTTCAAAGGCGATGGCCAAATGCAAGTCCCAACCGGTTCAAAGGTAGTTCTTGCTAATCTCATGGATTCGCCTCGTGGGGGATTTCACCTTGTGGCTGGGCAGAAACACGGCAAAAAGGCCCTCGGCCCTCGGCTGAGAATCAGGACGTGCAGCACATGAGTATGTGTCAAAATATCAGGAACTTCCTTTGGTAGAGCAGAAAGAAAGAAGCGCTTGTGCCACCTGAAAATGATCAGAATGCCCTCTTCTATCGGGTCTTCGCAGGTGATTCCCCTTGCCAGGGCATTGCATGGAGTGAACAGCTTAGCAGCTGTGGTTTGGGGGCGAGCCACATTTACACACACTCCTCACATCCACCGTCATGAATCGGGAGCATCCATCCTTCCTTTATACCCCGTGGACGCTCGGCTTCATCTGCCGCGTGGCTTGCTGTTGTTTGAGGCCAAAGAGGTCGGCAGAGCGCGCAGGGCCCCGGAGTTGACAACATCTCCTTAGGTCGCCCACGGTGCGCCCGGGGATGAATTGGTCACCTACGCGATTTTGCTGCAAAGGTAGATTACTTGCGGATTGATCCGTTAGTAACTTGTGAAACGATTTGTGTCTGTTTGTTTAATCCCTTCTCGGAAAGAACTTCGCGGTGTCAAGAAATCAAGTATTTAAAGTGTTCACAACACGAATCGCAAGGAATGAACGCCTCCCATTGTTACTGGGCGAACCGAACCTGGGGAGGAGCATCTTTCAATGATCGGGCAACATTTCATGTGAAGTGAGTCAAGTGCTGACTCCCCCCAAGTGCAACGTGCAACTATGGTGACTGAGAGTCTTGGAGTGCGCGTTGCATCCGGAGTGCGACTTGTTCGATCCAAGTGCGACTTGTCCGTCAATGAGAAGCCTATATACCAGTCCTTCAGGCTGGCCAAGTGTTCACAACATGCTGATGAATGTCAGGCCTATTCTATACCGGTCCTTCATGTTTCTCCGATAAAAGAGTTGATTGCGTGACAAGAATGGCACCAACTACAAGATCCCAATATCCGGCAGAAAGTTGTGCCATCAATGAAGACCAATTCACCCTGCAAAATGCAAAGCTCGACCGTGAAGACCTCGCTATTGTTTGGCTTGATACTCGTGCGAGTCTAGAGAGTTGGAGGCTATTCTTACCATTCCTATTAGGTTAAAGGCCATTCCTATGTCCGGTGAAGGCCACCGGAATGCTCCTATTAGGTTGTCCGATCTTTTGAACTAAAACACCAACGGCGCAAGGCGAGGTCAGACCAGACCAGGCTCTCCATGAACTCCTCCACACTGATCATGTAGTCTCCATTCATATCCAAACCTCAAAGAACTGTTCTGAGCGGCACCTTGCCAAAAGAAATCACTCTTCCAGCCGTTCCTCCAATCTTGGCTCTTGGGACCCTGGTCATGTCACCTGACCAAAATGGGATGAACCCCTGTGTTGTGGTGATTTAACCCTTCCATATGGTGCTTTACCATCCAAATGTGCATGTGAAACATCACAAGTCTAGAGTCTAGGACATTATACAACCAACTGAAATGTCATGGCATGTCATGGCCCAATATGGGGAACGGCTAAACCGAGGTTTTCAAGCGAGAAAGCACACCCTGCGCGAGAAAGCATCGGAAACACCCTGCGTACATCTCGAACGGTTCGTCCCCCAGCGACCATCTGTTGCAGGTGCTCGCTCTGTTCGTGACTCTACCCCCGAACACAAGCCGTTTACACATTGGGAACGGCGTGTACTCTTGGAAGACTCCCAGATGCTGTGGATGGTCCATGTCTGATCCTCTCTCACAAGCCTCTTGGTTAGAAGCACGAAGTAGAGTGATAACACACATCGTATAGCAATACCTCCACCTTCACCTGTCCTCAACCTCCACAGGCTAGCATCATACAAGAAACAAAGGAAGGGCTAAGAATCCCACCCACCCAGTGCGTCCACCTTTCAGCCACCCGGTCATTCCTTCAGTTCTCTGAAAAAGCACCCGTCCGACGAGGAGAACCCAAAACAATCGAAGAAAATCCATGACTTTCATGCAAAGTCCCTGAATAGTCCCTAGATTCCAGTGCTCGTGGTTCTTGAATGTTCTTCAGTCCCGCTTTGGACGATGAGGAGAGCCCGTGGCCATGCTTCTAAAGGAACCAGTTTAACCTGGATGGATGGAGGAACAGCTGTATACTGTAGGCACCCGATGTGGAATCATCTCATAGCACCATTGGATATGGATGCAAACACGTGAACCGGCTTGGCTGCGCTTTCTTCATTGGTTACTGTGGATGATGTTGAACATATGATAGGGTTAGATGTAGGGATAGGTTTCATATGTTGGAGCTCGAAGTGCAATCCTGCCACAAGTTTGGCAAGGGAACTCCTCTGTGTAGTCCTTTGGCCAAACCAGAGTGCCCTTATTCCTGCCCCAAACCAGTGTGCAAATGGCGCCCCGACGATGAAAACACGATGTTTGGAGTGACCGGTCACCCACCGCCCCCACCGATGGGCCACGACCAGACGGGTAGGACCTCCGGTTGCCCCCGGTTTTTTCCGGAGGAGTGCTCGGAGGAAGGTCTTCTTTCTGCCACGGTGCCTATGAAGAGTGTCCAGGCATCGATGGCTCCAATCTCCAAGGATTCAAAGAATGCCTTCACCTGAGGAGCAGTCGTGCGGTCTGGGCTCTGGGCTCTGCTGGGCTTTGCTGGGCTCCGCTGCGCCTGGTTTGTTGCTTCAAAGCACAAGTTCCGAGCAGGGCCAGGGCCATTCATCTGTTGCTATAGGATAGAGGAATCAGTAGTCAGGATGTAATTAGTATATCGGGAATGACGGCAAGCCCGCGGCATGTCACGATACTTTAGATTGGCTGGAACAATCAAACCCGCCCTTGTGTAGAATCTCCGGAATCTGGTTGAATGCACGTACCTCAATTGTCAATCAAATGACAATGACTCTCAGGTCTCAGGTCGCAAATATCATGCAAGGTTGACTAGCCTTGCCCCGCGCAAGTTGGGACGTCCAAATTAGCTGGTATTCAAATACGTTGCAGCTACCTCGTGTCCATACCTCATAGTCATTTTGCCTTGCGGGTTTTGACCCATTAGAAGCCTGTAGTTTTCTCCTCATGTTGTTTTCTTTCTCGGAATCCCAAAAGGCCCAGGCCGCGCAGGCTACAGATCCTGACGCTGAAGCCAGGCCTCCCGCGCTTTCAAGCGCCACGCCGAGGCACCACTTCGTCGTTCAAGCTCCGCTCCAAGTCTCGCAAGGTGATCTTTCCGAGGTGTCGATCATCGATGCGGTGAAACCTCAGTGACCGGTGGCTTCGGCGTGAGGGGTGTGGCGCTGCCGATTCTTTGTTGTGTTCTTATGTGCAACACAAAAGAAATCAGGTGCAATGAAGATCTTTCTCGGATCCAGTGCAGATCTTTTGAATGTTCTTGTGGCAAGAAGGACACGTGCAAGAACCTTTTGGGCATTTTTGGGCTATATACTCTGCAGGAAATGATGGGTGATTGAAGCTGTCTTTGAGACGTTGAACACATGTGACCAGCTTTCATGACTAAGGGATGGTGGCCTCAATGACTCCAACGAAAGGAACATGACTCCAACCGTTTAGGGTCAAAACCACCGGCTTTCTGGCAGAACTGATTGTTAATTAATTGCTCTCTGGCTCTACCCGGATCAAGGAACTTCAAGGAACCTTGTCAGAACTTTCAACTTTCAACCACCTAATTGCTGAAAGGAGCTAGCAGCTAGTTACTCAGCTAGTTACAGGGAAATATCTGAAAAAAATTGGCGAGGCCAGTGACACCAACATCAACAGCACAGCCTATCAAACAAAACCTAATTCAAGACTAATAGCGATGGCCTCCAACCGTACCTAATAGTCCTAATAGCAATGGCCTCCAACCTAAAAAGAGAGTCTATCTAAGCCTGTTCACCCATACCAAGCTTACCTTTCTTGGGAGTTCTACCTCGAAGGACGAGACCTTTTTCAAGAAAAGCCTTTTCGCCCCAGAGGCAAATCCGAGACCAACGTTTTGAATTCCTGCGAGGTGCCGAACGACCGAACGACCGACCCGGAAGGAAGGAAGGCTCATGGTGGAGTCATACATGTTCAGCTTTGGTGAGAGGAATAGGATGAACAAGCAATGCTTAGTCACTTTGATGTTCTAAGAAATCCATTGGATCTATACCCGGTGATTGGCCACTGGGGTCACTTGCCAGGCAATCTATGGAGAAAAACAGTCTCTGTAGAACCACTGGCATAGGTGTTTCAATAGAATGCCAAGCCAATGCAGCTCTAATTAAAAGTCATGTAAGGAATATACTGGTGCAGCCTGTAGAAAATTATGAAGGTAGATCCGTAAATCCAATCAGCCAAAATAACAAGATCTCCATAACATGAAAAGCCCAATGAATGAGACAGTATTGAAACTAAATAGCCGCACATCGGTGACATATAGAAAGGGCTATTCCCTATACGTCTCTGTGTCTATCCCTGGGGGAGACAGGGAGCCCAAGGCCGGAGTGATGGAAGGTGGAGACCTACCCTGGTCGTGTGATTAAAAGAACCTATATACAAAGAGACAGTCCAAAATGCAAGAAGGACAGGACAAAGCGACTATTGAAAACAAAACTACAGTACATATTATATGCACATGTATCATCATATACATATGTATATATATATATATATCTACATCCTGTGTACGTATCTTACTTATATATGTATATATGTAAGCCAGATCCACTTGCTCTCACAGCATTTTCTATAACATGCAAAGCCAAATCTTCAGTACCATATGAACCAAGTGCATGTTACAGCAGTCTACTCCTCTTTTATATGCTTGTCAAGGGTTCACAAGGCATGCCATGAAAGGCCATTAAAACACAAACAATGACAAAAACCGCTTCTATAAAATGCTCCCCTTGGGCCTGTAAAACAATACTCTCTCTCTCTATCTAAAATGAGGGTCCAAAGCGGTCCAAACACATTTTATAGAGTCAATTCATGTCAATTGACTTGCATCCTATAGAGACCCAAGAATGGAGTATGTTCATCTGAACTCTCTGGGCATCTGAGTTGTCAAGGGTTTGCCACACAACTAAATTTTAAAGCCCTGCAATGATGTCAACATGGTAACTCCCACTGTAGGTGTATGCAACAATCTGCAGCCTTGCTAGGGAAGGAAAAATGACTCACTATCACTACCTATTGATAGTCCTTGGAAACGGTCATTCACAAGGGTGGCTCCCAACAAGTGTGGCCGTTGATGGTTGGATCGTGCCGTGATTTGCATGATTATAGACTTCTTCAAATTGTTGATGGAAAAACGACGATGTACCAGGATGTGCAATTGTGAGCTGCGCTGGGGGCTTGTAAACGATGAATGTCCAACAATGAGAGAGTTTCAAGCACATGGTAAGTCAACGGATCACCAGCCCAGTCCAAACGGATCACCTCGGTTAATCCGGGGACGGATCACCTGGGGTATGTCGATCAACCACGACTGCCCTTTCGGCCACTGCCCGGTCGGCACCGATCTGCTCCTGTCGGTTTTGGAGCAAGGCCTGGACCACCTGAGATGGTAAGTTTTCGGTTGTGCGCCTGGTTCAAAATCGGGAACCCTCCAGACTCCAGTGTGAGCCAAACCTGCCCAACTGCTTCGAATACGGATTGTCTCTCATTCAAGTCTCCGTTTCATTCATGTTCAATCATTCCTGATCACTCATGTTTATGTCTCAGGTTGTCTGTCATTCCAGTTCTCATATCTGGTTCCTGAGGCCCCTCTGATGAATGAATTTGTTGAAGGAATGCGACCAGAGCCGTCTGATGTGGACCTCTGGGATGAAAACGGGTGAAATGTCCTCTACAAGCGAATTTGCTGTTTGACCGGTGGGATGGGGGTGTCTATATTTGTTAGTTCAAGGTCTGTCCAGTAGCTCCACATGATTTTAGGATATCACAGGATCGCAACAAGAAAACACCGAACATATCCGAACATGGGTGTGTATTCGGAATATAGAGACCCCCTAGTTTGACCTCCGGATCGGACGATCGAATCGCCCCCCAGAAAACAATAAAGAAGGAGGTTAGGGGTTCGGGAGAGTTCGTGGGTCGCTTTGGACCACACCGGCGGCATCGGTCGATCCGTTTGGACCTCAAACCAGGGCACCATGTCGTGATCCCGTTCGGCCGCCTTGATGGCGCTGTTGCAGAACCTGGATGGCGATCCCAGGCAAACCCAAGCATTCTCAATAAAAGCCGGGTCTTTTGGTGAAGACATGTGAACACTGACCATGGGTCAACACCTCTTTGGGAAAAACAAGCGGAATAACTAAAACCCTCTCTAAGTGTCTTCCATCGTAGTTTCCATAGAAGTCACAGGAAGAACAGAAGAATTGGATGCAATAATTGTCAATGTTCATCCCAAAGTTCCAATGACCAGATCAATGACCCGGTGGCATATAGTATATTCATTCCGCAAACCCAAAAACTCAGATGGCGAATCAATTGTACTGTGCAGTAAAGCGATCGGAATCACATGTGTGTTTCTTCTGCGATGTACTCTGAGTATTTTCTACAAAGCCAGTGATTCTTCATCAGCCAAACCAAACGGAGCAAGGCCGCTTCATCAGCGGCAATACCCCCTCAACAGTCCCACAGCAACCAGCACCACCCAGCCAGCCACCAATACCTTTCAAACAAAAACAACTTGGGGGGCACACGTGGGACCCCCCCATCAAACCTGCGGTTGCAGCCATTAAGGGTGGTCGTCGGTGGTCCGAAATAACTGAACCCATGCTCTTGGCTCTTGGGCTCTCAAAGGTATCTCAACGCTTAACCCTTACAACGTACAACATATTGTTTGGATAAACACTTCAATTCATCACCTTCCTGGAAGTCCAATGGATGAATATCCTTTTTGATGGGGGTTTATATGAACCACCGAACTTGGGGATTGTGCCATCTACTCTGAACACACTGTATAATACTGTATAGTGATATTCGGAAATTCATGCTCCAACCTACAATTTCCAGGCCAAATCTGCCCAACTCCAACGCCCCTGAACCATGCGGTCTGGGCAACACCCCGGTAATGACGTTCATGACAGCTAAGGTACCTTGGAGGCTAAAGTTGAAAGAGTAGTTGAAAGTATAGGATAAACATGGATAAAGTCGGTTCCTTGGGTCAGCTGTACAAGTGATGATAGGTGAATGACTGCACAATGGGGGCGATTAAAATTGGAAGATGTGGCCATCGTGGAAGTAGTCGTAGCATCCACTCTCCATGAACATCAACTCACTGTCAAGCAAATTGAAAAATACTGTAGTAGAACTGCATTGCGCCATCTATTGGCTCTCTGTGTTCAATTCTATTATTGTTCTTCCTCGTACATACTGTGAAGCCTATCCAGCCCCATCCAATTCAAGACCATCCACACCTATTCAACCCGATACAAATCAGTGCAAAGCCATCCAAAGCAGTCCAAACCCCACTCAAGCCCATCGGCGCCCATCCTACTCTGTCTTTTACTTTTTCTCCTGCTTTTCCTTTCTCTTTCTCTTTCTCTTTCTTTCTCTGCACAAGAGATTCAGCTTCTACTTTCTAACTAGAGCATATAGATGGAGCGTGCAGTCAGGGGTTTTCAGCTTAAATCTCGCTCTTTTTAATACTGACAGCATGCCTACTGATGGCGCAACTCTACTGTGGTACTCTGGAGCTCGTAGATGGCGCAATTATGTTTTAAACCATCTATTTTCAGAACGGAGTATATTATATGAATTTATTACTGAAGTTGCCTGCTGCTCCTGCTGCTGCCATTCTTCTTGTTGTTGTTGTCGTCGTTGCTGCTGGTTTTGTTGCTGTTGCTATCGTCTTTGAGGCACATCTGTCCCCAAGCCAACGCCGGGCAAGAAGGTTGCCTGGAACACCATCTGATACCATCTGGGCCACCTCCTGGAATACCTCCTCGACCAGCTCCCGCAAACTCTTTTCCTACAACTCTTGAGCCTAAGACAAATTACTGTTCATGCATGGCAATTGATAAGCAAGAGCTTTTTGCTGCAAACCTAGTAGTCACAATGAAGCCATTTGACCAGAGAACTTCCAACCAAGCGCTTCAGCCAGCTTCAAACATATATGTCCAAATTGAAGGATAATATTATCTGTTTATGATTCTGTCAAGGATTTGTTCCAACAAGTTCCAACCATGGATTTTCATACGGCAAAAGCTTTACAAAGCTCGCTAAAGAAAGGTTCGCTTTGTGTAACGTTGCTGGAACGCTCACAACGTTACTCCGGAACGCAGCAATTCGGTACAGCAATTCGGTGGGATCTCTGGGAACCGAGACCTCCACACGTCATAACATCCCGGAACATGCGTGATCAAGTTTCCTGCGGGGGAAGCCGAAGTATACAGTTGGGACAGTCAACTCAGGAGCGAAGTTGACACCGAAACTTTCACTGAGGGTGGATCAGCAATGACTTTCGTTTGGGCCGTTTCCTGTTTCCATACGCCCTTGAAGTCTAAAATGGAACCTGAAAATAGGCTTGTAGAGGAACATTGTCTTCCAAAGTTCGATGTTCAGGTTCCATGTCGGTCCCTTCCCGGGCAATCATATGTTTGAACTTGAATCTATTTGTTCCTCGTGTAAACGGCGCCCGCCTCCCGCCAGGCGTCGCAACCCAAAACACCGTCCTCCCAGCCTCCCAGCCGACGGGTCGGAGCAAATCCGGGCCACAAAAGGCCATGTAGAAGTGAAAGAGTTGGACCCAAAACCTTCGGATTCCAAAAGCAAGGGTTGGCAGTGACGCCACATCGCTTTTGGGCTGTTTTGGGATCGCTCCATGAGGACTTCAGTTGGACTTTCTCACTTGCTCCCTGGTGTGGGCTGTGACGACCAGCCATGATCCCTCGTTGTCTCTCAGAACCCAACAATATCGATCCTTCTCTGGTAGAAACCCCGCCGCAGGATCGAAACGCATGCATTGCCGATGCATCACCGAACGTCACATTCTTCGGACTCGTCAGACTCGTCGGACGACTCGATCGGATGATCCAGAGTTTGTACTCGGCTTCCCTTTAAACCATGATAAACCGCAAAAGATGTGACATCACCACATGGAGAGGGCAGCACATGGAAGCTGGCTCCAGGAAAAGAGCACCTGAGGCATTCAGCTACAGTATATGTTTCTTCTATGCATGCCATTTGGACACCCCGAAAATCCAGGAACTAACCGGACATCAACAAATCCAGGCACTGCGGAACTGTGCCGGACAAAGTATAGCGGCATCTCAAAATGTTCCTAGTAGTGATGCCCTTTATTGCTACTAGTAGCGAACATTGCTCCCAGTAGTAAGGCCAGGAGCCCCTAGTAGCGTCCTTGTTCCTAGTAGCGATGCACTTGTTACTAGAAGCTTCTTTCAAAGGAATAGCGGCATCCCTGTCCGGTTCACGGAACCCATTTGACCCAGGAGACGTGCCCACGGGCCATAGCGCATCCTAGGAGGCGTTGTCAGCGTCGCGTTTCGGGAAGGACCATGAAGGACATCAAGGTCCTCATACACCTCCGGAATGAGCATAGTAGAGGGAAAACAAGTAAGAGTTCGTAGTAACCAGAGATGCAAATGCAAATAAGCTTGTAGCTTTCCACAGGCCCAATAGAGCTTCCTAAAGCTTCTGGCGAGACGGACAAGCAAAGGTGTCCTAGGGGGCAGTGATGTCAACCAATGGTTTCGAGGACCAAGAAACCCGGCCGCAATTCACACGGCAGGAGCTTGAACAATAGTGGGGTTCTCAATCAAACCCAGTGGTTCCTTGCTGCAAATCCTCGGAGTCACTGCAACAACTTGAAGAATGTGACTCTTCCAACTCTGTTCAACGTATCCTGCGCTTCACAAACCCAAAGGCAACCACCATTAAGCGGCGCATGGGTTTGCACGGATCTGGGTTACCGGATGTTACAGTTGACAAAATACATTTGTTGGAGTGTCCCATATTCTCAATATGGGAATGCCTGGGAATCCTAAAGCAGTGCCAGAACCTACCACGTCGTGTTCTAAGTCTGGACCAGTGGGTCCTTATCATACCGTAACAAGGACCATGGGCGTTCCTCGGTTCTTTCTCTTTAAGTAAGAACACATACCACTGGCACGACCTGTTTTTTCCACCAAAAACACACCACTCAGCTGATGGGTCTGTCAACTAAAACGCATCGAAAAAAGCTCAGGCTCTGCCGCGTGGATCCAGGAGAAACCGCAAAGCAGGGAGCGGAACAAGGTCTCGCCGGAGGTGTAGATGTTGCCAAAATACCATCTGGGCGTGGAGTCTGCGTCGTGAGGCAGTCGTTTCTGCGTCGTGAGGCTTTCGGTGAATGGTTTTTCGATGGAGAAAGACCCCATGAAACTGAGCGCCTGATGGCGCCTGAGCGCACAACATGTAAATACTCCCATCTAGGTGCACTGTAGGTCTCAAGTCCCACAAAAGAGGCTCAGTTTGACCTGGGCTACGCCCCAGCACCGGGTCGAAGATCCCGAGACTGGAGTCTGAATTGCCCCAAACACAGGCCCTTAGCTCTTGCAGCTTGTTACTATAGTTGGACATTGATAGTTTGGAATCCCTACTGAACTATATATAGAGCCCCGAATAGATAGAAGTTCGTATTAATAGTTCGTAGATCCCCACCTTCAGAATGTATTGGAAACCGTGCCACTGCCACTATCTGTTTGGGGACCAAATATATCAAATTATATACTTGCTTTTTTTGTCCGCTGCTCACCTGGCCATCTTGGGACACTCCACTTCAATAGGTCGCGCAGTTGGAACGAAGAGGTTAAAAAAAAAAAAACGTGGTGTTTTTGGAAGAAATAGACCCGGGGCCAGGGTGATTAAAGAGATTGGTCGAGCCATGCCCCAATATCATATACACACATATATTAATATCTGAATACATGTCTCGTGGGCACTTCGGGGCACTGTCTCCCCGAATTGGATCCAAAACCATCGACGGGAAGAAATGAATAGATCCGCCTCACTTCACGGTCTGTCAATGAATAGATCAAAAGGAGTAAAGAATAGATCAAAGCGGCCGAAAGGAACCACGGGAGCTTTGATGCCCATGTTTCTGTCGGACAGAAAATGCAATCCGGCAGAACCATGAACCATGACACCGATGGCACACCGATCCGACTGGATACGTGCATACCCCAAATCTCCAAAACCAGGTTGATCTCCCAGTCATGAAATGAGGTCTTTTTCTGGTCAAGCAAGCACCCTGGCTTTTGATCCAGACCTATAATGAAGGGGCTCAGCCGGGCTCAGGGTATGGATTCCTGCGACGAAACGTCTCTTGTTTTCCAGTCACTGGAGATTATCCTGAACGTCCGCATCCGCACCTTGGGCGGCTAGCAAACCCACGCAGTACGGGTACTGAACAGCAGTACTTCGACTCGTTTCATCTCGTGTCAACGTTCATTGAGTTGGAGCAAAACACATATTCAGGTTGGGATGATCACCAATTTGAGGCAAGACTTTGGTTGAGAAGTTTCTACTGCTTGGAATACTCAGTGGAGTACTCTTTTCAGGAGTCACATGTATCATGTAACTGGTTTGAGGTGTTGACCATTAAAACTGTTGAGCCCACCGAGAACATCGACTCCCCTCAATGGGGGGTTGTACATCCCCATACACTCCATGGGACTGGAAGATATGCCTACATTGACCCCCCCAAGGTAGGCATACAATATCATATTATAAGACCATACATGGAGTGTCTGGGCATTCATGTACTTGAGAGGAGGGAGACACGAAAGGTAGGACAGCGGGAAGAGAAGAGAACGCGAGAGGCAGGAACAAAAGTGCAATGTTCGACATGGTGATTTATCCCCTTGGAGGCGACCTTTCGTAAATATATGTTCATATGCACTCTAAATGTTCAAACATATGCTCTTGAAATGTTCAAAAAGATTCTTAGGACAACAAACTTGCCCCATGGCTCAGATCATCGGTGAGCATTGAATCGGAGCATCATAGGATTTGAACTATCCTGAAACCATAAGAGGCTCACGAAGACGTTCCCCAGGAGAGAATTGACGTGCTTCACAAAACAAACTCTAGGTATTTATCCTGTAGGGGAACACCTTTCGTGATTAGAATTTCATATGCACTCTTTCTGAATGTTCAAGAGGGTTTCAACTATCCTAAAATCATGAGAGGCTCACAAAGACGTTCTCCAGGAGAGAATTGAATTTAGAGGGGGGGTCTGTATTGAGAAATCAATTCGAAGGGGGGGGGGGTTGAATTGAATGATCAAATATTAGACCCGGACGCGCCAACACTTGCTTCGCAAGACAAACTCAAGGTATCCCCTAAAGGGCTACCTTTCGTGACTATTCTTCATGAACGCGCAAAAAAACTGACACTTCGTATCAATTCTTTCCCCCCCAAAAAAAAAGAATCGACCATGACCAAGCGGGGCAACTCGTGCCGCGATGTTGCGCAACCTGTACTCGATTTCAAGATATACATTGTAGTACACTATCCCAAAGCCAATTTCAGGAGAATATCTACTTTTTTGGTGTGAAACGTTGTTTGGAGGATTTGAACCCTTTCACACATTTCAGAAACATGCTGATTGTCTATTTCGATAAAGTTCACAGAAGCGATGATGTTGAAGCGAAAAAACAAGTGCCAAACGGTCTTGAGCGGCAACATGTCAAACCTCTGACATGCACGAACATGCCCATTTGGGCTGCAAGTGTATAGAATATGAATGAATATGATGTGAAAGACTTTAGACTTATAAAAACAAACTTTGTGAAAACCCGTTCATGGGATTCTGGGCTCGTCCGCTCGAGGTTGGCTCTGGGCATCGCTGTCGGTGCATCAATCAGCAGGGGTCACGATTGAACTCGCGAGCGTTGACACGGCAGGTGCAATATCCCCATCTAAAGATTCTAAAAGTTTAAAGTGGTCATTTGCTCTGAAGAGTTGCCCAAGATCTGGAGATTCTGGGCCTCTTCGAAAGAACGACCAACACTGGTGTAGTAGGAGGTTCCGGCGACCAAGCAATCCACAGTTTGCGACGTCCGCTGCATGTAAAACTGGAAACCAAACCCAACACATTCCAAGTAGCACATTTATCCCCAATCACAAGGCTTACAATGTCTCTGTGTTTTTGGAGTTGGATGTAAGTCCCCCACAACGTGGTTTCCTTCCGTCAAGGATTCACAAATATTATACAGTTTACAAATCGGTCAATAAAACTAGACTATATACTATATACTATATACAATTGAAATATATACAGTAAATAGATCCATGGGCGGAAACATATGCAGCAAGCATAGACACGTAGCCTATGCATTTCTTCGAACACTTTTGACATGAAGCAACTCCTGGAAAAGAGTAGAAGTGGGAGAGAATATGTCTTTCTTCAATGTATGGCTTGTCTGAATGATGCCGGCAGCACTGTGCTGTTTGGTTGCTGACCCCAAATATCCTCAAAATCCCTCAAATTAAGGAGCCCTCGAAGAGTTCATCTAGCTGCCATGCCTGGGAACAAGCTTCACAAATTGCAAGTCCAAACATGGATCAAACTCATTTACTGTGCTAGTGCTGGTTGATCTTGTTGTTCGCCATCGGGTCAATTGGGACTTTGTCGAAAGGTCGACAGCTTGAGGAAGGGCAGCTCTGGTCGCAGCCAAAGTGCTGGTGTTGTTCAAATTTTCTTCCAGAAAATCCAGCACAATGTCAGTGAATAGAATACCTCGGCATTCTCAAACGATGGCAAGGACATGCAATATCAGTCTCACATACCTTGAATCTGGCACCTTCCTCAGTACAAAGGAACAAGATTGATCAAGAGTTTGCCTTGGGCAGTGGACATACCAAAATAATGTATGAACATGACATGAGTACAGTGGAAGCAATGGCAAGATGTGCGAAAAAAGATCTAGACATTGGGCATGGACTGAAGTTGGGGTGTTGCTCTTCTCTGCTTTGGAGGTCGTCAAACAAAACAACACCGAATAAGCACTGAAGCCGAGCCTAGTTTAGGCACTCGTCTGAGATGTATCAAGGAGAGTCGTGCCAAGTGCAGAGAGAAAACAGCGGCATAAAGATGGTCACGATTTATTTGTTCAGTTGAAACGAGGTCGAAGGAGAAAGCCCGTTCCCTGAGGAAAGGACAGTTCCCTGAGTTGAATCAAGTGTTGCAAACACTTCATGTCATCCGATATCACATGATGTTTTATTAAGTACACGTAGTTTTGGACATTACCAAATAGTGAACGATAACTCCCTAGCCGGGCCCATATCACTCTTTGGGTGAAAACGCATGAAACAAAAAACACATCTCTGATGAGTCCTCGCTCCCAGTGACATACTGACGCGAGACGTGTCCTGACGCTGATACTGACCGTGTCGGACACGCGTCTCACATCAGTCTCACATCGGTCCGTTTCTCCGTCACCGGTTTCAACGCGGCGAGGACAATGGTCTCGACACCGGTCGCAACCGGTCTTGGTCTCTCTTAAAGAGGACCATCACTCTGGTCTCAAACGATGATTTTCTGCCCAGTCGTGACACACCATGACACCCATGACACAGAGCAAAACCGGTCTGAAATGGTCGGAGCCGACTCAAGAACGATCTGCCCAAGTGCTAAAAATATAGATGATCAAACCCAGCAGAAACATGGCCCAGATCAGAGACTTCGTGGTGTCCACCAACGAGGCCACCAGCTTCCGCAACGCCTCTGAGCCACCGTCAAAGCCGAGGAAGACCCCAATGGTGGCACTCCAACGAAAACTGTGTGTGGCTTGAACAGTGGATAACAGTGGTAATGCAGTGATCCAGAAATAAACCGCCAAAAAGAGACAGATGTGCAAAGTGCAAAAGACATGACCTGACCTGACCGTCAGGGATCAAATGTTATCAAAAGGTCTAAGGAATTGAAATGAATCGAACCCACGAGTCCATCGGGTTCTGAGTCCAAGAATCAAACCATGACCGGGCGGCGCCAGTGGTTAGTGTCTTATGTTTGTCTACTGATTCTTAGCTTCTTGATTCAACTACCCTCGAACAAAACATGGACGTGAAAAATGCTCCCGTTTGTACAAATCCTGGCAAGACCATATTCCATCATATATTCATATATATATATATACACACACACACAGGGGGGGGGTCCACTTCCAACATGTTTGTTGATTGTCGACCACGGCTGCGCGGAAACCGAGTCCACGAGGCTTCTCTTATCGAATCGAACACCGCAAGAAAGGGACAAATGCACAAGGAAAACCAATGGTACCATACTAAACGTCTAGTCTATGTAAAGGCACCAACAACAAAGCCACGTTCTATTCAAGTGGCACACCCGCCAAGTACACCATGCAAAATATATTGATTTCATGTCCGAAGTTCACCAGCTGCTTGGGTGAACTTCAAAGGGCTGCCACCTGCAGGTTCTGTCTATGCGGCTGTTCGGCGGATTTCCCCAGCCTTAAAGATCCGCACCACGCGGATCACCCGGAAGACGCGGAGCAAACGTCCCATGCGGAGGATCCGCACCAGGCGCAAGTTCGTGTTGGAGAGGCCTGGTTCGTGTCACGTCGATGCTTCAGAAAGGAGTTGTCACAGGGTATGGGCAAACCAAACTCTTTTTCCAGTTTGAAGAACAATGAATATGAAAGAGATAGTTTAGGCCAGTACTGACCATGTGGGACCTCATGAATGTGTTCGTGACTAAGGATACTAAAGCGAGCAGCACCCACGAGACCAAAGTGCGGACTAGAAGTCGTCATTGCTCGAGTGACTTCCAGATTCGGTCTCCACTATAGACGACCAAACAAAAAGGAGAGAAAATGACGTCTGGTCTTACTGCCGTGAGGATCCGTGAGGAATGGCATGTGCTTGCTTCCAAGCGCAAGTGCTTCGAAGGTTTTGCGACGATTTCAACGCAGGTCAGGTTAGTTTTTGTCCGGAATTTCCTTGGGAGCCTGGAGGACCGCGATCAAATGTAATCATCCTGGAGTAGATGGAATATGAACCAAGCGAAAAACATATATATAAATTATAAATATACACGTAATTATACATATATAAACCGGTATAGACGATGAAACAGTTCTTTAGGGCAAAGCCAACAAGGCACGATAATGCCTTGCATTTGAGATCACTGTCGAGTGAAGCTACACATGTAGCTACACCAAGCAAAGGGAGGCAGCGACAGTTCTCAAGTTGACCTTCTCAAAGGGGATTGCAATATATACCTGCTGCATGCAAAGAAAACGGTGTATATAATGTAGGTATATTACAATAGATTACACATTACAGGTATATTGCTTTGTAATAGGCTGTAGGCTGTAGCTGTAGAACACACACCTCCCCGACAGGTCTTACATCTCCGGGAGCGAATCGACCGTCAACGCCGTTTCAAGGGCGAACGGTGTTGCTCAAGCGTCTCGGCGGATCAACATCACTGGGCACAACATATGTTCAAGGTGCGTATATATATATTATGTATATATATATATAAAGATTGGACTTTAAACTACAATTATGTTTGTTTCTTTTAACCAAGGGTCTCGTCGACATCTGTTCGTTGGTACTGGTAAAATCCGCAATGATCTCAAACCACGAAGAAACAACCACGAAGACATCCAGCAAGTTCCAAGTCCTCGGAGAAGGTCCAAAACCATCGGTCAGTCATGGGTTCGGGTCCTTCCCACACGGAGTCTATGCTCCCAATTGCTCACAATAATTGGTGCACACAAAGACCTGCATCTTAAGCAGTTATATATATTATTGTATGCATGTATATATATAGAGTATAAACTATTGTTGTTAGTATAAGTATGTATATATATATTGTATATATAATATTATTAAATTTGTCTATTTATGGACGCGCAATGACTATGGCTCCTGAAAACCAGTTTGCCGCAAGTCATGTGTTGCTAAAGTCACGTTACACGTACTAAATGCCATCCCAACTCATGACAAACCGAGCCATCTCCGCTGACACAACTGGACCCCCAATTCCGCTCATGTTTGGCGCAATTCCGCCATTCCCCGTTGAGCTTCCTGAGCAAGGTCTTGTAGCTGCAAGACCCCTCTGAGTTGATCCATGTACAGCAACACAATTCAGTCCTTGCCTTTCTCGTTTCTGCCCTTTTGTGTGCTTTTCCTTCAAAAGCAGAGTTGACATGACTCTTCAGGTTTCTCACTCAGGTCCCAGGTTTGTACGGGTCAAACGCACAGCCAGCCGGGCTCCACATTTCTTTCTTACTAGCATTGTGGCAACTGGATGCAATTGGGTATCCCGCGTGATTCGTGACAAAAGCAACTGCATGGTGTTTTTTTCTCAATGTATTGCCATGAGGCCAATTCGGCTGATAAATACTTTGATTTAGGGCGGGTCTTGCAGGGTCAAAGCTTGCCAAATGCTGGTAGCAGTCTGACGCTGTGTTCCATGAGAAGCACATGAGCAAAAGACAATGAATAGTCGAGGAGGCGAGTGTTCGTCAGCATGAACTCTTGTTGGAAAACAGAAGCAACATACCTTACAAAGCAGTGATCCTTCGTGACAGGCGACAGGGACAAACGCATGAACAAATTGATCTAAGGAAGCATACCGGGCTTCACACCTAGGTTCAAAGCGATGCAGTGAGAACCAAGAGTTCTGTGGGCTATTTGTTCAAACAAATGTTTGGGAGAAAACACAGCAAACCTGTCTTTGCCCGTGTCTTGCACCGTGTGTGGGCGTGTTGTAATTGGAACGCCCTTTACTCTTTGGATGACACCCTCAGCATCCAATGTCAAGTAATACGGTATATATAAAGGGAACATGTTCACGTTGAACACGTTGCTATAAGTTCAGCTGATGTTTCTTCTTAACATTCAAGACGTTTCTAGAAGTTGTGTTCCTTCCTAGCGTGCTGGGTTGAGCATGATTGGCAATAAGCATGTCAATGGCAACTAGCAACTTGACTTTCGTCGCAAACAGAAACTGCTGCCCTGCTCCTTTTGGACTTTTCATGGACTGTTCGCGTTTGGTGCACCACAAGGCCAAAAGGTCCTTAAGCCACTTTGAACAACTTGAGGTCAACAAAGGAGATACGACTCCCAAACATGACTCCCAAGCAAGTGAGCCCAAGCACATGGTCGCTGAACGGATGTGCTGACGTGCTTGCTTGAGCGTGTTATTTTTTTCAAGACGTCGGACGTGTGCTCAGCGTCGCCATCGACTTCTGGTTTTAGAATAAACCTAGGTTTGTGACCTTAACACGCTGTTTTTGTATTGCAAATGGTACGGTATCGCTTTTTAAATATACGATTTTTAAAACAGGTGAACATGTATTTTAGACTACCTCCGGCAAGGTTTTTGCCAGCCCGGCCCGACCCTTTAAACATACGGAATGAATATACGGTACGATTTAAATATACGGTCAGCTTACATATGTGCGGCGGCATTTATTTGGTACTGAGCTCAAACGCGCAATCTATTATGTGGAGGCCCTATCTCGTTTCGACTACTCAAGTAGAAGGTCATGTAATGTTAGAGTATCTCGCTCAGACTGCTTTAGTCTTGGTAGTCCCGGTGGTCTTGGTGGTGATTGTGGCGGCC